CTCATTCTGATCTTCTTGAAGAAGCACAGCTCAAAGAAAGATATTTGGAAAGTGGGAAAGCATAATTTTCACATATAAAATTCCTGTGATAGACAAATTATTTCTTATAAGGTCACTTTCTATGTTCCTTGGACAATGCAAGTGTAATGGGTTGGATCCAATTTTCCTTCCCATGGAAGTATAAACAGATGCTGACATTTTTGCTTTCTGTTCTCATTGCCATCTCTTCCATGCTTCCTTAATTATGAAACACTTTTCTGAGATGTCCTCATTTCTATACATGACAGTTGACATATTCCCTAATCTTATATATGTAGTGATGGGGATACTGGTCCATAGACAGGAATAGGAAAGCAAGCAAGTTCAACTTCCCTATATTCACTTTTGTTAAGAGATGGATCTAGATCTAATATTATTAAGTAGCAGTAGCCATAAGGATAGCAAAAGCTTACAAAGAAGATCAACACAACTGATGTACAAACAGCATATTCATGGAACAAGTAGAGAGCTTTCGGTACAGCAAATATGCCTCTGCAATTTAGAATCCATTGGTTGCATCAGGCAAGCAGTAAATGGACATGTGATTCTGTTCCTCCCAAAGTCAATGTGAAAAGCAGTATTTTTCAGATGATGCTTTACAATGAGAAGAGCCTGAAATAAATGGCAAGAGAATATGAGAACTTACTTCTAGGATCACGTTTTGAATTTCTTGTTAGCCCAGATCAATTTCTACCCATTCTGCTTTCAAAATTATAAGTAGTTTTGCCTGGCTTTTAAGGAGCAATAGGTTGGTGCATCTCCAATGGGCTATGTGAATTGCCATTAAAGATATTTTAGATCTTTGTGGTTCCATCTCTCCTTTATTTATGGAAGAGATAGAAATTGTAGTATCGTAAGAGTGTTAGTATCTTAGAGGAATCGAGAAGCAAAGACTGAAATAGGGAGAATTGGGAATATCAGTTTAGAAAACAAGAGAATGTGCATGAAAAGCTGTTAAACAAAAAACAAAAGATTCAGTTTTTCATTGATTAATCTGGTCCATACTATGTACCCTTGAAAATAAAGTTTCACAGAGTGAGGATTTAACAGCAGTGCAGGATTTAACAGGATCTAGGCTGAAGTCCCACTTGAAATCATCCTATAAAAATAGTCATTGGGACTACCCTAAATCCTACTGATTTCAATATATCTGTATTACTCATTGTACAATACATTACAGACTAAGGCTGGACACGTGCAACAGATTGTCCACAGACCTTTTAAAACTCTTCAGTTCCCATAAAAAAGGTAGTCAAATTGTTTCGGATTTAAAAGGGCATCATAAGAGAATGTGTTTATTTTGCAGGAGCTTCTACTGTTCTTGTTCAGTCACTAAGACATGTCCAACTCTTCACAACCCCATGGATCACAGCACACCAGGCCCCTCTATCCACCACTGTCTCCCAGAGTTTGTCCACATTCATGTTCATTGCCTCAATGATACTATCTATACATCTCATTCTCTGCTGTCCTTCTTCTACTTTCAATCTTTCTCAACATCAGGGTTTCCTCCCCCCCAATGACTCATCTCTTACTGTCTGGCCAAAGTATTTGAGCTTAGCTTCAGGATCTATCCTTCCAAAGAACAGTCAGCATTGATTTCTTTTAGGAATAACTTCTATAATCGATTATTAATGCAGTTTGTCAGTGAGGCTGGTGGTGAGAACCATTTAAAAAATATACTGTATTGGACTTCTTTTAGGCTGAAAACACCCACATACCAAATTGCCAAATTCTTCAACATTCTGCAAAGTCCACCTTGCCCAGCCTGGAAATTTTCGCCTTTGCCTTATATGCTTGATTCCTGCACCTCATTTATACTGCCATTCCATTGTCCAGACTTAAAATTATGTGTTCCTACCTAATGTTGAATATTGAAATTTCTTTCATAGTTGTAGAGTATCATCTGTAAACAGTTTGGTGTGCTACCACATTGCTTGACTGCATCTCATATCACCAATTGCTTTGTTCTTTTAGACCAATACATCGCTGCGAGGAAGTCTAACACAGCATGCAACATGTCCATTAATTTATTTAGCGTATGGCATACAATGTCATACATGCTAGACACAATGCAGTCCTGACAGCCTAAATTGCTAGTCCATTCTGTTTGGCGCTTGCATACCTGTATCACAGGTACGCTTGCGTACCTGTATCGCAGGGGGCAAACTAGCTTACACCAACTGACTAGTGGAGCTCAACTTGCTGGTTCTTCCAGGCTCCTCCTGCCAGTCTTGCCTTACCTTATGTTGCTTTGCCTTGCATCTGGCCAGGTCCATTAATTAAAAGGAGATGGACACCCCCCTCATGTTCACACTAACTACTTCATTCTTTTCACCAAAGAATGTTGCCACACTTATTTTAACACTTCTGTAGAACAATCTATGGAAATACCTTTGCCCTCGGAAAAACAAAATTGGCTAAGGTTTCCACAGTTCTCATGGATTCCCATAATGAAGAATACTGCTTATATGAGGGTGGGTATTAAGAAGGTCACAGGAGAAAACATAAGTACAGTAACTAAAATATAATGTTCAAAACTACTTAAGCTTTTGTGTCATCGATTATTTTCAAAAAAGAAGTAAGAATTATTCTTGATGTGAAAATCTCTCAGCCTGCAAAGATTTTCTATTTGCTTTTAAATGTATGCAGGCTCTTTGATCTGCTACTTTGCTGGTCGTACTTAAAATAAATAGTTTCTTTTATCTTGCCTTTTTACTGGGTTTAGCCTTTGCAAAGATGGTTTAAATCCAAATTGTTTGGATTGGTTTCTATTATAAGGTTTATTATTAAAAGCATGCAGTTCTGAATTTGGTCTAGGAATTTGAAAAAGTAAATATTCATATAACCCACAAGAGAAGGTTAAAACTAATAGAAGAAACTGGTAAGCTACATTGGCTTAGGCAACACAAGAAAGTTGTAAAAGATGTGCAAGAAAAAGTTCAGATTGTTCAGGAGTCATCTTATGCAGTACTTCTTACTGGTAGTAGATTTTTCAAAATACATTTGAATTAGTAAGTAAAAAAGAAAATGAATTTTACTTTTCTTTTAAGATTCTATTTAAGGAAAAATGCAGCAATTATAACAAGCATAGGCCAATGCTACCAATAATCACACTGAAGAATGAACAGTCTTCACTGCATCAGGCAGTGTTGAAGCATCTGTTTCTCTACTAAACTAGATGTATGCAAAATTCAGCATTGCAAAAATTTTGCAGTGGCGATGAGCTTAGATGGTATTCAAAAAAGATTGCACAAGACTTTAGGAAATGGAGCGAAAAACAAATACTAGCCATTCTCTTGAACTATCCCAGGGGTAGGCAACCTTGGCTCTTTTATGACTCGTGGACTTCAACTCCCAGAATTCCTGAGCCAGCATGGCTGGCTCAGGAATTCTGGGAGTTGAAGTCCACGAGTCATAAAAGAGCCAAGGTTGCCTACCCCTGAACTATCCAATTAACCATAGGCTCACTGTGTAAATTGTGGAAAACATAAGTAGGTAGGACTAACAAACTATGTACAGCTATAGCCTATCTGTAGTTTGTTAGTTGTTTTTGCTAGTCTTTCCCATAACTACAGTAGTGAGCCCACATTCAGCAACCTGAATATGCTGAATGTTAACTTACCAGGGAATCAGCAGTATGCTAGCACATGTTGCTTTGATTACGTCCATTAGTTTCTTTGCCAATGGACATCAGTAAACCAATTATTCATGGGTCTTCTTGTAGTTTTATTACTGGGCTCTCCAAGCTAGGAATTTTTAAAAAACTTTATTTGTCAAATGTTCAGACCTCCTATCTTACTCTCAAAGCGGCTCTGGGTAGTGTACTATTAAAAATGTAAAAATCATGTAAAATACTATATCTCAATAAAATGCTATAGATAAAATAGAGATGGGTTAAATTAAAAGTTTAAAAAAATATTGGTAGGGCCTTCAACACCTAACCAATCCCAAGGTTCATGCTCCTCTGCAAGTCCGATGTGAGTCAGTAGACTCAAGTCTTCAAATTCTTTCAAAAGGCCAGGAGATTGGGAAAGTAAATTTATTTTTTAGTTATCCAAATAAATAAACCTGGTATGGATTCTTTCCCTGACTTGTTTCAAGTGGAACACGTGCTGGATACTATTGACAGAATGAACAAGTGTGCACGTTTGTAAGGACAAGCAAGAAACATTGGTGAGGAATTGCAATTTCATTTGCACAAGCGTCATGGTGCATATGACATCATTATGACTTCTATAGTTGTAAACAAGCCACCAAGCTGTCTATAGTTTGCTTCCTAAGTTGTCAATCAGAAGACATGTTAGGAGTAAATATCATGTATTAACTTAGTGCTTATTTTCTGCTAAGCCAGAATCCTGATAATTATAATTTGGCATGGCATACAAATATGCATGGTGTTGTTACTATTTGCCTGTCTCAATATATGTCCCATAACCTTCACTGCATTTACCTTGAGTTTAAATATTCCACCTGAGTGGGAGAATGCGCCTTTTATTCTCATCATGCACCATTTTATAAATCTCATCTTCCCACTATCACTTCTTTTTTTCTAAACTTTAAATCTCTGAATATTTTAATCCTTCCACAGAAGGAAGGTGCTCCATCTCCTTGATTATTTTGGCTGCCCTTTTCAACACCTTTTGCAGCTGTCTAAGTTATACTTATGAGATGGGTGAGTGACCAAAGCTTCAGAGTATTATTGGAGTCTGTACAAAACAAGCAGTTCCACATGAATTACAAAGAAACAAAATGGTTTTTCTAACCCCAGAAGAAGTGAAAACTGGCAACCATGTGGGAACATTCAGCTGATGATGACTCATCTCGGAAGAATGATTTTCTTTTTAAGATTTCAGGTCATCAAGTATTCTTCTCTTTGGTGTTAAGTACAATAAGGACGACCTCATCTTATAAAGATGGGAAATATGCTGTCTCAGGTCTTATATTTATTTGTATTTTAGTGTTCCCTGAGTAGGGCAGAAGCACGACGGGATGCTGCAAAAGTGGCCCTTATCAATTCTCTGTTCAATGAGTTGCCTTGTCGCAGGATCACAAAGGAATTCATTATGGAGAGTGTCCAGGAAGCTGTGTCTTCCACCAGTGTAAGTATTAGCCATCATTTTGTGTGCTGTATTCCTATGTATTTTTGATAAAATTATAAGCAGGAAGGAAATTATTCACATAAGGACAGTATGAGAGGGCCTTGATTGATACATTTTTGCCATTATGATGAATGCCTCCCTTTTGACCCAACCATCCTTTCCCTCACTACATACATGTCAAGGCTATATTTTAAAAACTGATAATCTGTTTTGTTTCTTAAGAGGAACATATCAGGTTTTTCTAGCGTATTGTTGAGAAATAGAAGTTATAAGCACTCATGTTACATATGCCAGAAATAGGGATTTTTTTTTAAAATCTGAGCTGCAATTTAGGCTTTAGGTACATCTCCAATAGAGATGGGGAAGATGGTGATGATATGGTGATGTCAGTGGGATATAGAGTTGAATATTTTTTATTGCAAGTGGGAAAATAGGTGTTCAGATTTAAGGCATTCATACTGTATTTTCACCAATGTTACATCATTGATTACATTTTGCTTGTGATGAGATATTGAGTGACAAAATGGAAGTGAAGTGTATGAGGTCTGGTGCTCTGGAAGTGATAAAAAGAGGCAAAAACTGCATGTGGCTCTGATTTAGCCTCCTGACATATCCCAACAACTATAGCAATAGCAATGGCACTTAGACTTATATACCATCCCAGAATGCTTGCAGCACTCTCTGGGCCTTTTATAATGTCAGCATATTCCCCCCAACAATCTGGGTCTCCATTTTAGCAATCTCAGAAGGATGAACTCTGAGTCAGCCTTGAGGCCATCAGGATCAAACTCCAGGCTGTGGGCAGAGTTACCTTGCAATACTGCTTTCTAACCACTGTGCTACCAGGGCTCCTACCATCATTACCATTTCAAAATAAAGCTGTAAAGATAAAAAGTAAAATAGGCACCAAGTCCTGAAGAAGAATATTGATTTGATTTGATTTGATTTGACTCTGAAAAGCTGAAGTCTGAAGAGATTTAGATTGGGAGACACATTGGACATAATTTTCACATTTTACTGGAGCTAACAGCCACTCATGCTTGATTTGATTTTTGATTTTGATTTTATTAGATTTCTACCCCGCCCTTCTCCTTGCGGACTCAGGGCGGCTTACAGCCCGTTAAAAACAAATAAACAAATACAAAAAACATACCACATTTTAAAATCAATTAAAATAAAATAGGACTCAAGAAGTTGACCACATCTGATCTAAGTCAGTGCCTTGATTATCCAGTTTCAATACAGAAAATGTATTTTTTTCAATAAAAAGTATATAATCCAAGCATAAGCCTGAATTAGAAATATTGCTTGACTTATCATTAGAATATTGATGTAATGAAAGAAAAAATATGTACATTCAATATTCATTCATGCATGCTTAGTGTATCAATTAATTTTAATGTTAAGACAAATGCTTAAAAATGTCTAGTTATATACTGCCATTCCCTCAGAGAATATATATTTTCTTGAAATGTATTATATAAGGAAAGTCAGTAATGGCCCAAAGGCTAAAACAGAAGTATGAATTATCTGAGCCCTTTGATTCATTTTCCTGTATTTCTGTACTTTTTTCTTTATTATTTAACTGCCTCTGGCAAGGAAATAAGTCGGCAGGAACTTTTGTGAAACAGAAACAGGCTCAGATGTTAACATCTGCATTTGAGGTTACCTCCATATTTTTCATGTGTTGGTTTATAGTTACCATATGTTGTCATCAGCTATTGTGTTCCATCATGGAAGTTTCTGCATTTGCTAATAAATAATTTTAAGTAATCATTATGCTCATCTTGAACAGCCATTGTATATGTTTCCTAGTTATAAAGATATAGAAACATCAAGTAAATGCAGATTATACTATAGGGATTTAAAAAAATATTCTGTTTGTATTATGGATTTATTAAAAAATAAATCCATTAATTCCCTTGAAACAAGACTATGAACAGTTCTAAAACTCAGTCACCCCTCTAGGTTTTCTATATGCCAGCCAAAGTTTCCAGTTTTTTACTGCTGCATAAGTCAATATTAGAAGAGAAATATATAATCTTGGTTTTGGTGTTCCAAATATTTCTAAAGAACAATTAACTATGTCTATACAGAAGCCTTATACATATAACAAGAGTAGGTGATCTGGGACTTTAGAATGCCTTGTCATAGCTCCAGAGACTCATGTGGAGGGAGGGAGGGAGGGAGGGAGGAAGGAAGGAAGGAAGGAAGGAAGGAAGGAAGGAAGGAAGGAAGGAAGGGTCTCCCTCTTAAAAAAACGGGAAAGATCAGATAAAATAGAACATCTCACCCACTTTACATTACCTTTCCAATCACTGCAGCCCTCATCCCAACAAATATTTAGTGCAATTCAAACGCAACATAAGAAAAAGTTGCTGATTCTAGTTATGGAGCCAACAGGCCCACTTAGTTCCTGCCAACTTCTATGATTGACAAATAAAATAACCAGAAGGAGACAGGATGAAGTTATCTCCTCTCCATCCCCATCATCATGATGGAAGTAAATCTAATGAATGTGGTATTGATGGGTAAAGATAATCTTACTGGAGCCATATTATACCTTACAGTTTTTGCTAATAGGGGCAGAATTCTATTTCAGTAAAAGCATGTGGATAATCTAATCAATAATGCAACAAAAGTTATAGGAAGAAAATAAATATGCTGACCTCTGCTGAATATATTAGTTTAGGCTCCAACAAACTTAATGAAATCTTCCCTTCTCTATGGAAGAAATTGCTGAAAAGTTGAATACTGTAAATTATAAAATGCAAAGTTTCTGAGAGGAAAGGAACAGATAGACTGGAATTACTTGGAAAGGGATGACCCTCTGGTAAAATAGATAACACTGTTCCTCCTCTACTACATAGTTTGATGGAGGCGGTGTTTAACATTATGGTGAATTTATAAAGTAGAGGAGGTCTGCAAGTGAAAAAAAGCTTTCTTTTCAAACCACTTTACAAGTCCTGAAAAAGGTTTTTAAAAGTCCTGTTCCATTTTTGAAAACAATGCTCTACATTTGGGGAAACTAAGCCATTATTAATTTACACGTGACTTTTAAAAGAAAATTCATTTCATGCAATATGTATTTTTTTTTTCAATGGAAATTTTCTAAGGCAAAAGCTTACAATCCCAAAGTTCTATGCAGTTGTCCTCAGGGATATTTAAAAGCCAGCATAAATATTGTAGCAGCAGCATGCTCACGTTCTTGCATTTCCAAAGCTATAAATCTGCTAATAGTTCCAGTACAGAACCATTTTGTGGACAATGCTCTGTTCAGCTTTGCACAGCTTATCCAGAAAGATTATTAAAAAGAAAAGGAAAATAAAATCAGCAAGTATTTCATCTTCAGATGATTCCTACGGAATGGAAAACAATAGCACTGGGTATAAAGCTTTGATTCAAGCAGCTGCTTGCTCCCCCAGATGTGGCTCTATGATGCTAGGGTGTGCTATTGCATGAAATAAGCTATGAAATAACGGTGCCCTCATAATTTAATTTAAATCTTCACCCTTTTCATTTTGAATTTGACAAACTCCACAAGTCTGCTTACAACAATAGTTTTGAGTTGAACTTTAAACCCCTCATGAAAAGGGAAGAAGAAGGAGAAAGGCAGAGAGAGAGAGCAAAGGAAGGTTCCAGCAAGTATTATTCCTTCCACAAACATACAGCTTTCTCACATCAGTTGTGTGTGTACAAGGGAGGGAAAGAGAGAAATGCATATGAATGCAATTCCATTCCTCACCTAGCCCCCCTTCCGGGGCCAAGGTCAAGATGGTGGTTTGAGAACACACATTCACACACCCCATTTTTTACATGTGAAAAGGGCTGTGCTTTCAATGGGTGGTCCCAGCCTCCACCTTGAGTTGTTAGACTCCTCCTGCAAACACCTCTGATCTGTTTCATTATTATTCTCTTATATCAGACCACAACTTCTAACAGCACAATTCTTCTAATTCCTCTTTTTTTAAGTACGAAAGAAAGATGTGGATAAATGCTAAGAAAACAAGATAGGCTTTGATTTACAACCACAACTGAGTCCAAAATTTCTAGGTAAGACAGTTGTGAGGTGAATTGTGCCCCATTTTATCATTTTATTTTATTTTATTTTATTTTTTGCTGTAGTGATTAAGCAAATCACTGCAGATGTTAAGTGCATCATGCTTGTTAAGAGAATCTGGCTTATCCCATTGACTTTGCTTGGAGGAGAAGATTATAAATGGTGATCATTAGGGGACTGGAGGGTAAAGCATATAAGGAACGGCTGCTGGAACTGGGTATGTCTAGTTTAATGAAGAGAAGAACGAGGGGGGACATGATAGCAGTGTTCCAATATCTCAGGGGCTGCCACAAAGAAGAGGGAGTCAAGCTATTTTCCAAGGCGCCTGAAGGCAGGACAAGAAGTAACAGATGGAAACTAATGAAGGAGAGAAGCAACCTAGAACTAAGGAGAAACTTCCTGACAGTTAGAACAATTAACCAGTGGAACAACCTGCCTCCAGAAGTGGTGAATGCGCCAACACTGGAAGTTTTTAAGAAGAGACTGGACAGCCATTTGTCTGAAATGGTATAAGGTTTCCTGCCTGAGCAGGGGGTTGGACTAGATGACCTCCAAGGTCCCTTCCAACTTTTTATTATTATTATTATTATTATTATTATTATTATTATTATTATTATTATTATTATTATTATTATTATTATTATTATTATCATTATTATCATTATCATTATCATTATTACTATTACATGACTTTGGGACAGTGCAACTGTCATAAATACATGCCAGTTACCAAGTGCTCCAATTCTGATCATGTGAACATGGGGATTCTGCAATGGTCAAGGGGTGAAAACCCGACATGAGTCACATGCTGTTGCAACTTTGAACAGTCACTTAGTGAATGTTTGTAAGTCAAGGACTACCTGTTCACTTAGTTAAGGCTCAAACTAGCTTTTATATTCTGGGCATATATATAAAAAGTATCTCATTGCTTTTGTTGGAAAAGACTCATACATATATGAGGTGTAAAAACTGCATACATTTTTTTTCTCTGCTTAAAAAGGGCTTTCATAATTCAGTTTTAATTTATCTCTTTTTCCTTTCTAGGGTACTTTAAACGATGCAGATGATCCAAGCACAAGTATTGGAGCATATCATTATATGCTAGAATCAAACATGGGGAAAACAATGCTAGAATTTCAGGTATCTGTGGTGGCCTTTATGTGATTTGTTTGATCCGGACTGTCCAGAATTTTAAAGATATACAGGAATACATATTTTTTCTGAAGTCATTGGAAAACAAGTTCCTATTAAGGGAAACCATATTTTTTCCAATCAAAAATACAGCTTCACTTTGTTGTTGTTGCTGTTTTCTTTTTCTTTGGATCTTTCATAAGGCGGCATTTCAGGTATTTCATTTCAGCATTGTAGAAAATGATCTTTCAGCAACAATTACAATCTGTGGAATTTGCAGATTGACATTTCTTCTTTTCTACACTGCTTTCCATTTTGGAGTCCAGATGGGAAAAGTTGCATTTTAATTATCTCTGACATGATTTTTATATGCACTGTTTTGTTTTATGTTGGTTTGTGGGTTTTTTGTAGTATTTTTTAAATTTTCTAATTTTACATTTAAGTATTTAAAAAGCAACGTGGTGGCTGGGTTAATTGATAATTCAATAGCATACAAAAATCTTTAGTACAGATCTCAAGGTACCACATCAAATATTTCTTCTCTTTTTCCCTTAATATCTACTGTCTCATATTTGAACTAATACAGTTCTTATTATATCGAGTAAAAATAGCATTATTACATTTATCAATAAATTTTTAGCTTATACATATCCTAGCTTTTACATTCAATCTTTATAGACAATCAATGTCCTGTTATTAGTTTTTCCCAATTTTTAGTTTTCCATCAATATTTAAATTTAACATTTGATATTTATAATTACTAAGTTTTAGGTAACCAAAGTTTCCTTTATCTCAATTCATAACAAAGTCTAATATTCAAGATACACATCTTATCTAGTTAAGTATATTCTATTTCCCACCATCTTGCATCATCTAGTTAATAATACAATATAACATCTTTATTTTCAACTAATTTCCAAATGTCTTAAATTTAATGACCAAAATTTCCCTTATTTCAACATCAAATACTTCCTCTCTTTTTCCCTTAATATCTACTGTCTCATATTTAAGCTAATACAGTTCTTATTATATCAACTAAGTAAAAACATGTTTATTACATTTATCAATAAATTTTTAGCTTATACATATCTTAATTACTTTTACATTCAATCTTTATAGACAATCAATATCCTATTTATTTGTTTTCCCCAATTTTTAATTTCCCATCAATATTCAAATTTTAATTTTAATATTTCTACCTCCAAATTTTAAGTGACCAAAGTTTTCTTTATCTCAATTCATAACAAAATCTAGTATTCAAAGTACACATCTTGTCTATTTGAGTATATTCTATTTTAATTAGCAATATAAAATCCTCTCTAATAAATCAAACCCCCAATTTTCTTCAGCCTTATTCTAGTTTTCTTCTTTTGCCAGCTTACCTTCCATGTCAGTGCTTTTAAGTCAAATAGATCTCCCTCTGTTGTTATATATATTATTTGAAATAAGAGAGACCATTCAGTCACCATTTTTTTGGAAGGGCTAATGAATCGTCTCTCTATTATTCCAAATCCCCATAGTTGTCCTGATATGTTTGTCTTCCCTTTGGTCTGTTTTTCTTCTTGCTCCTCAAATTTCTTCTGATTTATATAGAAAGTCTTTTCCATTTTCAGTATTGTCAGTCCCTTTTCTGGATTTTCCATTGACTGTATTTGTTGGTCAGTTGAATCCTCTATCATAGTATTTAATTGTTCCACTTCTTCTGTTATCTTCTGCATAGTTGATTCTTTAATTGTGGCCAAAATTTGGGTTCATATATCTAGGCTGACATCTTGTTCTTTTCTGTAGCATCTTATTTCATCACAAGCTGAAAGAATGATTTCATGTATTGCTTTCAACATAAAAAGAATCTGTTCCTGGTCTTCATCCATATTCTCTTGATGGTGTGTTTAGTTGAGGGCTTTAAAGTCAGAGAATGAAAATAATTTTATAACTGGGTATAAGACACAGCTGAGCTTCTCAGAGCTGGTATTTGTCAAGGTTGAAAAAGTCTTATCTATAGTCTGGGCTTCAAGCCAAGTCTCCTTTAGACAATAACAAGTTGTAATATCAAATGTGGCCACAAGATGTCACCAATGCCGTTTAAGGTTTTTTAAGTCCAAAATTTTTATAATCCTTTTTCCAATTTTATTTCTTTTTTGTAAATAAAAACCAAAGTCTTCTGTAAAGATAAGAAATCTTTTGGTTCCCAAATTTTAGAAGCATATAAATCCAGTTAGATTAAGGTTATTCTTTCAGTGTTTTAAGTCCCCTGGATAGTCAGTCACCGCTATTCTTAGAGGGTGGGATAGAAGTTCCCTTCTCTCTCATAGGGGGGGAAGATGCTTTGGGCAGCTTTTACAGGAAAAGAAAATACTTGGGATTGAAGAGAGGTTCAGATCTCACCCAGTTTCATCTGCACTGCTTTAGAAGTGCCTGGTGGTAAGTTTGACTTCGGCTGTCTGCAGCCTAGTGATGGGCCATATTTCTATGGCTGGTCTTTCATCTGCCAGTTTGGAGGGCTGCCCCAGACCGAGCGGAAGGGCTACCGCCCTCCCATGATCAAGCAGGGGTCCCCTTCTTGCTTGTTGCCCCTACAGGGTGACTTTTGACCCTTTCCAGGGTCCCCCAGTGGAGCAAAACCAACTGCAGAAGATGGAACTCGCCTTCCAGCGGCCGCAGCGGCCGCAATGACAAACCGGAAGTCTGTTTTGTTTTGTTGTTGTTTTTGTTGTTTTGGTGTTTCATCCCTCTAACCATATCTGTCCAATCAACAAACTTCCTTTCAGAGTTTAGCTCTTACAGCTCTTGGTTTCTTTTTCCTTGGGTTTCTGTAGTAATCTATGAAGAATTTGATTTTTATTACGGTAGTAATGCTAAAATCAGATAAAGTGTTATTTTATAATTTTACATAAAATAGAGTAAAATACTAAATCAATACCAGATCAATACTAAATTAACTAAACATATACTAAATCTTAAAAATCAGGTCAGTTGTCAGTTTAGAACAGTGGTCTCCAACCTTTCTAGCGTGGCAGCCCAACCCAGTGCAGGAGGGCGTGTGAGTGGCAGATGCATGTGCACGTACACAGCTCCATTTGTGTGAGTGATATGTGTGTGCCCTTCACTCAAGCAAATGGAGCTTCGGACATGAGCAGAGGGTGCTTGTGCTTGCATGAAGCTGCACTCACACGAGCAAAAGGTGCTTGAGCAGAGGGCACTTATGCTCATGTGCAAAGCTCCACTTGTGCAAGTGGAGGGTGCTCATGCAAGTGGAGCTTTGCACACCCACGCACTTGCCCATTTCTCCCATGGCCTGGTTTTTAACAGGCTGCAGCCCGGTAGTGGGACACAGCCCAGGGGTTGAGGACCCCTGATTTAGAATCTCAATTTATTAGTTATTGTTTTTTAAAAAAGAAAAAAGGGCAATAAAATAGCGTAGCATCTCAAAAGAAAGTCCTATTTCTTTCGATGGATGCACTTCCAATAAATGTGTAGGATATTACAACATTAACAGAAAAAAAAGGTTTGACCCTAGCAATGAACTAATGCTATTTTTAAAAAAAGAGGTCTAGAGTTAAACTAGCTCTTGTAAAAGTAGAGAAATAACCTTTGTGCTTCGTGTAATTTCGAATCTAATCCAAAGCTTACATACCAAATCCTATATTTTCATTTAAAAATGCTGTACAATAACTAGTTGTTAATAAAAATTTATACATTTTCTAAAATTGATTTGAAACCAGATTCTAGTCCTGGGCTTCTGAATGCATCCTTCTTGTTATCTCACCCCCATCCCCCATCCCCCTAGGAGCTTATGATTGTGTTTCAACTTCTGCACTGGAATGGAAGCCTTAAAGCCCTGCGTGAAACCAAGTGTTCTCGGCAAGTAAGTAGCCTTCTAAAATGCAACACTAATTATCAGTTATTCCCAACATTTGTTTTAAAAAAAAATCTTCTTGAAGTTCTGCTGTGTAATATGCTTCCTCTTTTCTATAAGTCATTTGTTGTGGTTGTCTGGTTTAACCGACTAGTGGTTTTTAAATCCCATTGCTAGAAAATGTTTAGTTTAAGTTTACCGCTTTTCCAACTGAGATGCCATCTTTTGTAATCAGTGTTGCATCTAAGACATCAGAGCATGAACTGGGCATCACAACTCAGGAGAGCAATCAATGAAAATACAATATGGAGGCAGAGAACGCCCAAGAAAAATGTTGTAAAATGTATAATCAGAAAGCGTGAACAAGAGTTGGGGTGGAATGAATAGGATCTACACGTATAAATGTAAAACATATATACATAACACCAAACATTTAAAAAATTAAATAAACACAAGAAATCTTTGATTTCAATAATATATAGTTCTGGCTTATGTTAGTAGTAAACAGAAATGAGTAGGCAAAATTCATTTCATATTAAACATATGCTGAGAAATATCTCATACAGTCCAATAAACATGTTTTATTTTTATTACTGTAATTACTAAATTAATTAACAATCACATCTAACTTCAGTTTTTGCTGACGGTAAACTGGTAAGGAGGAATCCTCTCGGAGAGAGCCTGGATTCTAATAATACTTCCTGTATCTAGATGAAAAGCTGAAATGTTAACTCTGTAGCATAAAAGATCCCAATTTTAAAGAACCATGGCAGCCTTTATCAACACAAGCTTGCACACTATTTGGTGATGCACTTTATAGATAGCCAAAAAGCATGCAAAATGAAAGATCATGATCTGGTAGGTGAACAGTCTAACATCATCATCAACGTTGTTAGGTAACTAGGTAACTAGCACTGATGATGTTACCTAGTTAGAGTAATGAAACGTTTGCAAGAAAACAAGCAAGCTCAGAGAGCACCAAGGAACCCTCATGACATGTTTCTTTGGTGGGATATGTTACCTGGTTCTCCAATATCTATATTTTAGGATGTATTTAATTTGCTATATTGATTACTAACTCTTCTTTCTGGGGTGGGTGGGTCCTAGGAAGTGATTTCCTACTATTCCCAATACAATTTAGATGAACGGATGAGAAGTCATATGGCACTGGACTGGCTCATGAAAGAGCAAGAAATTCCGGGCATTATATCACAAGAGCTACAAGTGGCACTTAGAGAGCTCGAAGAAGCAAGGAAAGCTGGGCAAGAGTTGCGGTTTTACAAAGAAAAAAAAGAAATCCTTGGCCTGGCAATGAGTCAGCTGTACAGCGATTCTGCAACTACCTCGTCAAATGATGATCGCATGAGCCTAGTCCTCAGTGGCTATCGTTAGCCTACATTTGAGAGATGGGGTTATAGTATGGCTGCATCTTGGTTATTCAGATCAATATTAAGGAACTGTTTACCCTACCTAGTATACTGTGTAATGTACTACCGTGTTTCCCCAAAATAAGACCCAGTCTTAGTTTTTTTCCCTCCAAAAGAGGCACCAGGTCTTATTTGGGGGGGGTGTCTTTTCCATTCATTTCACCATGGCAGTAGCGACAGCCCCGCCCAGCCGACCCACTTCTTCTGTGGCCAAGGAGCAGTTTAATTCTGCAGCTGAGAATGGAGCTGAGGCCTGCATTTCGCAGTCGGAGGCCTTTCCAGAAGGCCTTTGCAGCCAAGAACCGAGCTATAGATTGAATCCGTAGCTCGGTTCTCAGCTTTCTTCCGGAAAGGCCTCTGTCTGCAAAATGCAGGCCGGAGCTCCATTCTCAATAGCAGAATGAAACTGCTCCTTCAGCCGCAGAAGAAGTCGGTCGGTGAGGCAAGTGTCAATCCATGACTGCAATAGTAAGGTCCACCCCCCACTCCTGCCATAGCTTGATTTTTAGGCGTGTGTCTCACCCCAAAATTAGGGCTTATTTTTACGGTAGGGCTTATATTAGGCCCACCCAAAAAAACAAGCTGGGGCTTATTTTCAGGGTAGGTCTTATTTTTGGGAAAACATGGTAAGCTGAAAGTCTCAGATTTCTTCTTTGATGAGAAGTATTCCAGGTACATAAGGAATCCTTGTATATCAAACTAAAGTTCCCAGGAAGTATGGAACGGACGTTTGCTTTAGTTTATGTTTCTTGCATTGGATGGGCAATGCCTAAAACTGACATGATACAATCTGAGAATGGACCAAGGGACGTTTTATAGTAACTGTTTAAGTAAAACTAACATTCAGGCTTCTAACTTCTTGAAAAAGAAGCACAGTCAGTTAAGTATTGTTGATCAGACCCTTTAGTGTATTAATTGAGTTTATTCATTGGGGAGACATTCAGGAAAGAAGTGATATCCTTGCAATATGCAAAAAACCAAAACCCTGTAAAGTTTACTAATCTTTTTAATAAAGAACGATACAGTTTTCATATTAAAAATAGTGTTCTCAAAAAAAACCAATGAGATAATTTTAAAATATACTCAGTTGTAGCAAATCTATATCAATTTCTTTTGACCCAAGAAGAGGGGGGGAAAAAGCTTCAGATAATTCAAAGAAACCAAGTTTGATCTAATTTGCTAAATAAATTAGGGAAATAACACATCAAGCTTGTTGCTTCTGAATATGGAATCAAACTGCATTGTTTGTTAGACTATTTTGTTTTCCTCTGCAAATCAGAGAAAGAAGGCAATATCTTGGAAACGCAATTGAAATAACTACACAGCTTATTCAAATTTCCCATATAGAAATAGGCTCTGTAAATACCTAGCAGGGAAAGACTGGCTGCCATATCAACACAATGCCCAATCAATGCTGGAAGAGTCAGAATAATACTGGAGATTACAGCTATCAAATCTGGACTACAAAAATTCAAGTTAGGATCCCAAAAGCAGATGCATCCTTTTTCAGGATTGCACAGAAGCCTCAGAAAAGATGAATTGCTTTGCAAGAATAGCAGGGAGGTGCTGTTCTCATTCAAAGTCCGAAACACTTTGAAGTCACTTCTCAGATGTTCTCAGCTTTACTGACTGTCACCACAGCAAAAGAGCACATGTATTTTGGCACTGAAAACAGTAATTTAGAATTATTCAGCATATTTCCTGCAACAGTGTTTTCCATCTATCTCCACATGAAATAGTGATAATTTAACAACCAACTTTTTAGTCTGATTTTAAGATCGCTTAAGATCTTCAAGCAAAATTATTCAGTTCTACTAGCATTTCATTTTTCATGGATTTCTGATTTAGCAGTAATCTTGAATGGTTAGCTTTTTGTTGTTCTGTATCACAATACATTGTCACTCACAGTCCAGACAATCTACTCTGATTGTCCGATGCTCTGCTTATCTGTAACACAAAAGAGTCAAGTTATATTACTATATTATTGTGAATAATCTTATATTCACAACATTGCCACAAAATGCTATATGTAGCATACCAAGTAAATTGGGTGGGGTTTTTAGTATCCACAGTTGTCCTCCTTGTGCTACAGCAAACATTAAAATGAGATCCATTGTCTACACAGAATTACAAGAATGGGCAAATGAAGGAACCATCAGATTAAAAATGGCTATTGTGTATTTCATTAATGTATTCTGTTTGATCATCCTCCTATGTGGAATTTGGACAGTAATTCTGTAAAATAAAATGTTCTGAAACTTTCCCAGAAAATAAAGCAAATGAATGTTTTGCATACAGGTAAAACACAGAAAAGAGAGAGTTACTGTGACAGTTTATTTCTCTGGGGCATAAAAACTTATTATAAGGCTTCTTTCATTCTGTGATTTGTTTTCGGATAAGTGTTCTTGAAGCCCAACTTTGTAATCAGATGTCAAAGATGTCAAAAGAGAAGCAAGTTTGCCCAAGGAGAAAACTAATCTGCCTCTTGCAAGGTAGGAGAAGGTAGAGGAGGACAAAAGTTCATCTGATTTTATTTTCAACATAAAATATGAGTCTTCTGAAATCTCTAAGCCAGTGGTGGCGAACCTATGGCACGCGTGCCAGAGGCGGCACTCAGAGCTCTCTCTGTGGACACGCGCACCGTCGCCCCAGTCCTAGGCCTTCAGCTGGGTTTTATAAAACCTTTTCATTTTAGGTCTCTGCCGCCATGTGCAAAAAAAAAAAGGTTCAATCAATCAGTCAATTTCAACTTCTCGTGGGGAAAAAAAAGATCTTGCAAAGTTGGAATTGATTGATTGAACTTTTTAGTCCCACCCAGTCTGCCGTTACCACCGCAGCCACACCTACCCAATGGGCCACACCCACCCAACGGGCCACACCCACCCGGGACCCGACGATGCATAAGTGGGTTTTGGGTTGCAGTTTGGGCACTCGGTCTCTAAAAGTTTCGCCATCACTGCTCTAAGCAGTCAGGCCCATTGATTTGCATTCAGTGTTGCCAGTTGCTTTCAACCTAAATGTTCTCCTCTTGCCATTTCTTATCTTACCACATCTAAACCTATGTTTACCTTGGAAACATGGGGTGAAATATCGCAGAAACAAAAGGTGTGTGCATCTGTTGTGGATATGGGGAGCGGAGTAGGAGAAAAGGTCATAGTTTATGTCAGCTTCTCTGATTCACCAGCTGCCTTCCTATTGTATTTTTGAAAAGGGGAGGAAATTGCAAGTAAAATACATGTGTGCCATGACTCTTTGTCTGGTAATTTCATTTCCATAGGCGGCTTTCTCCTAGCACTAGGAGACCTTGCTGGTTGTAACAAAGACCTACTTGAGTTCACCACTTGTTTGTAAAAAGCCAAGGCTCCTTTGCTGCTCTCCCATTGAAGAGGGGCTTGAGGAGGCTCTGTCTGGCCACGTGGGCTACTTCATCCCAAGCATTGCTATTTTCACACAAATTGAAGGTTGGGTTAACAGGATCCAGCACAAATGGCCTAAGAGAGAGAAAAAATATCCCATATTGACAGGTGATGATTTATTGGACATTTAAATATGCCATGCGACAAGACACTTGGATGAGTCCATCTACTCCTAATGTTCAGACATGCATACATCCCCTTTCATCCAGTGTAGAGTTCCAGCTCTACCTGTTCATCCTTTTCACAAATCTTCTTCATTCCCATGGGCCATTGCTTTGGCTATAGTATTGCCTTTTGCAGTAACAATTTAATCCTTCAGATGGCTATTAAAATGTGTCTGGAACAAAACCCAGAAATATAGAGCAAGCAAATTTGTGCTCCATAAGTGTAACAGAGCCATTCACTAAGAAGAGCATAGAACATTGATAAAATATCACAAGCCCTGTCCTTCTTCCTGCTTACTAGACTGGGTCTATAAATGAAGAACAGTCAAATATACAGAAGTTTTACTTACCTGCTTTGCTTCAAAAGCATTTTCTGGAAAATTGAAAAATGTGGTCTGTAGTGTCTGTGCCATGTGATGCACATCTCTTGATATTGAGTCAAAAGCTTCAGGACAGCTCTCATTCCCTGTACAAAGCTGAAAAAGATGGGCTTTCCAGCCAGTTCCCAGACATAAATGGTGATCAATTCAATTGTATAGGAGGAGGGAAGCCTGCGAAACCTAAAGGCAGAGAAAGAGATTCAGTCAGAGAAATTTCAATTGCAAGAAATGGTTAATAGCAAAAGTCAAAACCCCAAAATGCTAAAAACCAACAACAAAATGTCATTTTGTTTTTAACTTTCAATTTGTTAACTGCTCCTTGCATAGGAAGAGCTGTGGACTTAGCATTTTTCATAGTTCTCCTGTTGCCATCAAGCTTTTGATTTATATTTTCTAATTTACAAATTAGCCATCAAATGGAGCTGAAAAAGGCATGGGAAAAAATTATAAAAATCTACGAATCACACCTCTACTGTGTTAGAAGTGTTTCCCGTTATAAAGCTGGGAAACATGAAAATATGAAGATTAAAAAACGAGAGCTTTAGATGCTAGCAACTTACTTATTTTCTTTGGTTGGTTCAGCAAATGAAGTTTTGAACCAGTGCTTCATTAAACGTATGAAATCCTTCACCATTCCTGTTGATGCTTTGACAAATTCAGCTTGGTACTTCAATAACGCCATGGTGTACAGCTGGATCTTATCATCATCACTGCAAAGGTACAGCTTATGATAAAAGCTCTCTTTTGGACCTGTTAACACCAAGCAATCTATAAGACTAATGGTGCTGCTTTGACCTACTGTATCTTTAGATCTTCACAAAAACCAAACCTTACAAATTGTGAGCTCCTGGAAATATTGTATCAATCTAAATCTAAATACTAAGGTAGAACATCTCGGTAGTGATGTTTTCGTGAGAGGAAGAAGAACTGCTTTCGTAAATAATAGCCACATCTTACCTGTTGATAACACAGATGCAAACATGTCATAGCAAGGCATGACGTCAAATGAGTGACCATGATGATTTTTATAACACTTAAAATAGAACCTCAAGGAAAATTTTGTGCTTTTCTGCATGACTAACCTTAAAAGAGGAGGAAAGAGGAAAGTAAAAGATATAATGATGCTTTAATATAACAGCTTTATTGTAAGTAGGAGGTGGGGGGGGAATGAAAGTAGAAGACAAAAGAACATGAAACAAATAAAAGTTCAAACCTGGCTGTCCATGAGGATTTTATCAGGGCATTTCCTAACTCTTCTAGGACCTCTGGAGTTGTCCTTTGGCAGTCTTCTAAACTGGTAAAAGCTTTGCTAAAAAGAACTATGTCCACATCAGAAAAGTCTTGGGTGTCCGTTCCTTTTACATATGAACCACCCTGTTGCATAGAATATTACCCCAAAAGATGGTTAACACTTGATTTTAACCCACATAGTCTTGAATACTTTAACAGCAAAACAGAAATACCAGCTGCACACGTGCAGTATTTTAGGCTATTAGCGGAAAACAGGTGCACCACACTAAGCCACTTACAGAAAGGATTACTGGACCTTCACAAAAGTAGATCATGCCATGTGTCCAAGTGTCTTTAAGAACATGCTTACTCTAAAAAACAGGGATCAAATATGAGGGGGATTGTTTTTCTTTACTATCATCCCCAGCGAAGGAACTTTATCTCATCTAAGCTCAAAAATAGACAACTGAGAACTGGAGATATCCACATTAGACCATTGCAAACCACTATGGTGCATCATGCAGACTATTTTGTAATCCCAAAGATTTACTCACTAGCATAAAGAGGAAGCCAAATCACAAAGGCAATCCTTGTAAGTCATGTGAATGACTATAACTGAATAAGCCATGTACAGGCTTATTGCCTAGCTTTTTGACAATTGTCTTAGTCATAGCCCAGCATATCCAGAGACTATCAAGTTTTGTTTGCAATTATTTGCAATTCTTCAATTGATAGTATCATTTCAATATGGACTTTTGTTCCAGTTGATTAATACAGTTACTGTACTTCTGCTTTTTACATGATTTGGAAAATGATGAATTTAATCTGTTTAACAAGATACTATAGAAAAGGACCATTTTCTATCCCTTATACTAGATTTGTATTGTCATTAAGAAGGCATATGCTCTCAGAATACACTTGATTAATTTTTAATTTAGAGCAACATCCTAAATTATATAAATCTTGTTTATATAAATTTCTTTGTGATTCATCTATCAAAGCATCTGAGTATCTTATGGAGGTTGGAAAACAATTTTGGTTTCAACAGTCAATTTTTCTTACTTTGCTTTTTGAAAGGGAGCAGTTACTATTTGCTTTTTCTTGTGTAATCCAACACCACTCATACACTTGATAAATCTCAATGTACATGTCTGGAGATACTTCAGTAGTTTAGTCTAACATTATAGTTTGATGCAATACAATTTACCTCATATTGCCACACATTTTTTTTTCTTTAGCCCTCCCCCATTTTGCCTGCATTTCTAACCATTTTCCTTGATGAAGAATTCTTTGAAATGTGGAAGCTTGCTAGAAGGTTTAATCTAATCAAGGTATTACTATGGTATGGATTTCAGGGTTATGGTTAGGACTTAAAGAAAGTTCCTTGAGCCCAATAATCTGGCCATGATCCTGTTAGCCCCATTCTCCTGAATTCTGGATCTGTATTAGATGACTAGGTCTCCCTGTTCCTATCAATTTGGCCTTTTGCCATCTTCTGAATCTTGATTTTACCACTGAGTGTTGGTTAGATGCATTAGTTATGCATGGACTTTACCACCTTAGAACAGGATAATTAACTATGAAGCTTTACAGAAAAATTCCTTAATGAAATATGGCATATTTCCAACACATATCTCACGCATCATTGATCCATAAAATTAATTGCCTGGGGATGCAAGACTATCATCTGCTTTATCAGTTGCATTGCTTCTTACAGATAATACATACAATATAGCTGTCTTGCATAATGCCCATCCATGTGTTCATTTTGCTTCCATATGCATATTGTAATAGCTCACTGCCATACATGTGAATGGAACACATTTGTTCAAATCAATTCCACATGCTCTTTTCCTTAAACAGAGATTAAGATGAAGAATATAATGCATGAAGAAATCTTAAAACACTTGATTGAATTAGACACCAGAGACCTCAAAAGTTCAGAAAGCGACAATGATTCAAAGGAATTATGCTTTATTCAAAAATGTATATACTGTTTCCCATGAGATATTGCCTAATTCTTAACTTTGGTCATGGTAAATCATATCCAGGTTTTGGTGATATCTGAATGTTAAAGGAGGAATTATTCAGGTCCCATATTCACTTCAGTAACAGTCACATTGACACAGGCAAGATTGTCCTTGTTTCAAATCTCATGAGATTGAAAGAGTCAGGTTACCGCAATAGAATTTGATGAAAGGGCCACAGATTGGTAATTTACAGAGTATCCAAATATTCCATCAGATAATAATATCATAGTAAAATATCCTGGCAAAATCTCTAGCCAAGGAAAAAATGCATATATTTCTCTAAGTAAATTGATAACAGATCAGTCTCACTGCAAAGCATTACTCTTGAGAGGAAATATGAAATGGATGATACTGATGAGAAACTAATGTGTATATTTTGCACACAAACTCACTAATCCAATTATGTGGACAGTTAGTAAAATATGAAATGTCAGATTTAAAAAAAGAGTAACTTTTTAATAGGGAATGAAAATGTACTTTTGTGATCAGTCTCAAGACAGATGCATAGGAAATATAAATACCTTGATAATTGAAGTTATTGGCAATGGAAAAATTTCTTTGATAAATGCAATAATGCCTTCAACTTCTGAGGTACAGGCTAGCCTTACAGGACCCAAAATGGGTCTGAGTTTTTCTTCCACAAATGCATTTATCTCCACTGGTGTTGTGTATTCCAAGAAGCCTTCAGGCTTAAATTTAGTGGCCATTTGAGCTGTACCAAAATAAATAAATAAATGAATAAAAATAAAGACAAATTACAGATTTTCTTAAATTATGATTCATGACTATTCTGCATTGAATTAGTAACTCCTTTGGAGCTTACTGCTATCATCAGTACCCTAACATAGATTTCTAACAAAAAAATTATGGGGCTCTTTGCAAGAAATTTCTCTTAAATTTGGGAACGTTCTGCAAGCCAAGATAACTCTGTGTGAAATGGATGATGCCATCTGAGCTGGGTGGCTTTGGAGTTGGGGCCAGAATGGCAGTTCTTTTCCCCCATTTTCAATTACTTGAATGGAGCCAATTTGATCAGCCACTTATCTCAGCTCTTTACAGCACCAAGGTTTTGTGTGACTGTGGAGAGAAAGCACAACTTTCATATCAGAGTAAATATCCCAAATGCTGTAGGGGCCAGGATGTCTTCCCCTCAAATCCTTGTGTTCCCAACATGTTCCTAACCTTAACCCATTCCGGTTTACTCAGCATACTTCAGTCAACAAAGAGTGAGGCAACATGCAAATTAGAAGTTTTAATCACAACTAAAACAATGCCATTCTGTCAGGCATGCCATACTGATCTGGTTGCTAACTGCCCTTTCTCCATTCTGAGATAGAAATTAAAATCTAGAAAAACTTTCCAAAAATAGACCATCTTTAGGAAGTTTGTCTATGTTTCATTTTAATGTTGATTCCTACATGATTCTCCATAGTTCAATGAGTAAAAATTCTGGAAAATAAAAATCCCCCACTTGCTTCTGAGATATGTCAGACTTCTTATGAGAAAATGGTCACTCATTAGTTGATGATCATTGGAAATTGTTACACAGCCAATGTACAGAGTTGTGTCCATAACCAATATATCGAACATGTGGTGGAATGTAGCCTGGATTCCAGGAGGGAGGGCTGCATTCCAGAGGATCAAAAGACAGCAAAGTTTAGATAGTTTGGTTTGGAGGAAAAGGATCAAAACAGCTCCTTCCCAGAAGTTCTCAGAGTATAGTGCAATTAATTTGCTTTAGTTTGGCAAGATTCTGTTTGTAGATGAGGAATAATAAAGGAAACTGCTTAGAACAAGGGTCCCCAACCTTTTTGATTCCATGGACTGGTGGCAGTGGCGGCGGTGGCTTTGGCAGTTTTGGTGGCAGAGGGGAATGGTTTTGTGCATGCAACTTAAATTCCATGTATGCACAAATGAAGCTTCACATGCTTGCCTGCCACTTCAGCAGCCCGGTTCCCAACGGGCTGCTACCCGGTAGTGGTCCGTGGCCCAGGGGTTGGGGATACCTGGCTTAGAAAAAACTTTGTTTGCCTTTCTTGGTCTTTGGGCCTGATAGAACATGATCACCATATGTTTAATAGCTTACCCTGTTGTTGTACTGAATATTATAATTTCATGGCAACTTTTATAGTAGTTTTGGATGGCCATAATTTGCATACCTTGTAGCAGGAAAACACAACATATGGGGCAGCTTTAAAAAGTAAAACTGAAATCACACAGACTCTCAGCAATGAAAGACTTCAGAGCTAAAGTTCACAATAAAAATATCACCTCTTTTATTGGCTGTAAAGTGGTGCTTCTGTTTCTCATGGTGTTCCCTGGCATGGACTGATCCAAACCGCTTGCAGCACATTCTGCAAGATATGGCTGTTCCCATGGCTACAAATGTTGTTTCCCTTTTCAGTGTCATATTCCAGCAACTCCTTTGATTGTTCACCAGTACAACTTCATGCTCATCCTGTTAATCAGTGATCTATATGAGTGAATTAATACTGAATCACCTGGATCAGGGGTCAAAGAAATTAATAACTCGAGGAAGAGATAACACAAATTTAAATTTTATTGAGGTAGATTGAAAACCATTGGAAGCTAACATTCTGTTTCTACAATAGCCAATCAAACACTCTTTGGAAACCCTGCAAATTTTACCCAGAGGAATTATCTTCTCCACCTATGCAGCAGGTATTAACTGGAATTACAGCTAGTCCTCATTTAGTGACCACAATTTGGAGCACTTGCTCAATCATTAAGCAAATCTGTCAATAAGTGAAACTGCAGCTTTCTTTTCCTTTAGAGCCCATGTAAGTTGTAAATACAAGAATTGGTTACAACGTTATATTTTTCTCACTATTGTATCTGTGCATGGTTGCTGTTGGAGGCAGTTGTTCAACAAAGACTACCTGTAGTAATTGTTTATCATGACTTTATGAAGCTTTATACTCCCTGAAATTGTTCCATGAATCTGCTGCTCTTTGCAGTCCTCCAAAATAGTGACATCACTTTATTTGGGGACAAAGAGTAAGTCAATCATATAATATGGAGAAATATGTCCTTCAATCAGTTCCAAATTTTCCACCATATAACTTCCATGGATGTCTTTAGTCATTAGGAGGGAAGAAAGCTCCATTTTTCCATCTACTTTCTCCATATT